GGGGGTCAGAGTGCGCCGATTGTTGCGACGGCCTGCCAGGCTCCATCCGGACACAGGCTGTCGTGTCCCTAGAGTGAGACGTGTGAGCATCGCCTGTTATGGCTCGCACATACTTATATGAGGGTCCCTTTTACGGTTCTGTTTATCAGGGAGCCGTGGTATTTTCGGAAAAGGGACCTGAGTCCACTTGCTTGCAAGGCATGTGCGTGCAGTTGTACCACCGACCGATCCCTCTGCCTTGAAGGCCAAGGCGGGCGACTGGACATGAGTGCACGGCGTCTCTACCACCGTGTTTCGCTTGGTCACACCATCATGGCATCCTTCCAAGATCAGTACTGGCTACCTTTGCTGGTTTGTAGTTGTCAGGCCGTCGTAGACCCTGGGGTCCGCGGATGGGTGCTCTTCACAGATCTATACTCGGCCTTGGCCGGTTTGTGGTTCGCGTTGCCGTAGCAGACCCTGGTAGGGCAGAGTCTGGGGCTACCTGCTGCTTTTGTAAAGCACCCTTCGCGGATCATCATGCGCAGGCTGCAGTTGTCCGTCTGTGCCGTGGTAGAATCTACGGGTTCGCGGCTGCTGCTCTTGCGTTTCTGCTGCAGTGTTTCTTTTTCCATCATAGCGCCTTCGCAGATCACGTCTATCATACCTTTGCCGGTTTGGGAGGTCCGTGTTTCTGCTGTCGTGGAAAGGTTTGCAACGGCTGTTCGGCAGGCAGGGTTCCAGGAATCCAGCAAGGGTGGGTAGCAGCTAGGAGCACGAACATGCAACCAAGATCCTCAACAGTGGCAGAGGACATCGGAATCGGAGGTGCCGCCACTCAAAGCAACTGATACAAAGGGATCCAGCCCTCATTTTATGTTGATAGATCAGATGCGCTACAGTTCTTAATGCCCCTCTCTCTCAAGGAAGGACAGGTGACAAGAGTCGGGTGTTTTGCGGTACTGCGATGAAGTGGAATGGCTTTCCTTCGTCAGGCCGTGCTGCTGCACTTCCACGGAATGAACAGCCACAACAATGGAAGGCCAGCTTCCGGTACTCGAAGAGCTCCACCAGCATCTGCAGGGAGGTATGTAGCACTTCCGAACTCACATGGCAGCAGGAACTGGGCGGTTGAGTTCTTTCCCCGCCTGGCCCAACAAGGCATGACGTTGGTTCTCAGACTTGGTTCCCGCAAGCATGTCGTAGCGCATGTTCGAGTACCCGCAGGTTCGGGAAGCTTGCATGAATCATGTGGAATCGCATGCCTCATGAGGATGCCGATTATACAGTGCGTATGTCCGGAAAAGGTGTCACTACATCTTCAGCTGACCCTGGAAGCTTCTTGGGGCTCAAGCCGGAGTTAGTTAGTAGTAGTGCTCTTCGTAGCGAACCCCTCCGAAGGCGCGGTTCCCTGCAAGTGGAACGGTGTCGGAGGCCAGAGAACCCGAGAGGCCCGGCCAAACATGGCCTTCTTGACCCTCAAATCCACCTTCATCGACATCAACTCGACGGTTCCGCGGCCCTTTGAGATGTGTTCTGCGCTTTTTGCTTGGCTCTCGTTGCATCGAGGAGCTTGGGGATGCTGTGGATCTTCTGCGACCTCGAGCCTACAGTGAGCCAGCGGACATGTGGCACTTGCATCAGGCCTGCGGGGCCTACGCCGGGGTCCACGGTCTAAGCAAACGAATCGGGTTGCTCTTCGCTCTTGGCAGGATGTGGATCCTGACGAAGAGTCCAATCGTCTGCAGATGGAGTATGTCGCTGTTCTAGAAGATCGCGCGAGCAACCTGGCCTCGGGCGCGGAGGCGACGGCAGATGTCTATCTTTGTAGATGTGTGGCTGCGACTGTTATGAATGGTAACGTGGTCCATTGTAGTGCCAGGTGGAGCTCCTGCCAGGGCAGAGAGCCGATCCGGATGCAGGCAAAGCGAATCGGAGGGTAGCACCATCAAGATACCCACCCTTAGTCGATTCAGGGACCACAAAATGACGCGACTGCTGGCAGAGTAGCCTTTCCATGGCCCTTCTCAAAGCTTTGAGACTTTAACGCCTGCATCCAAGACTTGACCCAGGCCTTCGTTCTGCCTCTACCGTCTATGAGTCTTGTTGCTGCGTATCTCAGCTCAAGTGCTGGGACTTCTCTTTGCCTGCCAACTTGCAGAAAGCTGAGGCAGAGGAGGAAATCTGGGATGCGGACTTCTTCGCGTAATATGCCAGTGGTCCGCGCCTTGAGGCACCGAATGCTCGTTAAGCAGATTTCTGCTGTTTATAGTACAGCACCGACTTGCTACGCAGATTTGTGTTCTGTTTATCGGCTACTTTGACGTGGCTGCTTCCCGTCCCAGGAACTACCCAGAAGTTCTGCTGAAGCGATGCTGATGATGAAGCATTGCAGCGTTGCAAAGTTTACAGAAAAGAGAAGGGATCCACAATCTGATAATGGGCCTAGTCCTACTTCAGGACTTCGCGAGTTCAAGAATGAAGAGTGTATTAACTCCTTCAGCGTCCTTTCTCAGCCGCTGCGGAAGGATTCGCTTGAATTCAGGCTGTCCTGCGGCGTTGATCGCCTGGAAACCACAAGCCTCGAGCTTTTGTTCTGGAGCTGCGCCGAGTTTGTTCCTGGCTCCAGAACTCGGATGCAAGTTTAGAATTTACAGCGAAGAATGTCTTCTTCTAGCTCGCTTGATGGTGCCAGATCTAAAGGGCGCCCCCCCTATAGTGGCGCGTTTGCATGCTGAACCGCATGGGTCCGGGTGAAACCTTGATCCATAAATGACGAACCTCTCCGTGGCTGGACGGATCCTGGCCGCCTCGTTGGGGTTTCGGCGCAGATTGTTAGCCATTTGGGCCGGGCGGTCTACGGTACGACACTTGTCAGATTTCCCCACACTCTGTAGGTCCATAGGCAGCAAATTTACCTCTTGTGTGGGCCGCTCTGGAACGAGTCGTAGTAGCTGCTGCATGCTATGCAGCCTGCTGCAATTCGTTGCATACCTGAAGAACTAGTCTCGTTAAACGGTTGTGCCGGGATGTTGACATCAGGGTATTACTAGTAGCTTTCGCGGTGCTGTGCTAGATGCTCCAGTACCGAGCCTGAAGCCGAGCCTGAGGCTTCCTGCCCGAAAGGGCAGTTCCTCAGTTTCCCCAGTTTCACTTGCAGTTGCTCCGAGACGCATTGGTCCGGCGCACCGCTTTTGATGATAGCGCGACGCAGGTGCCACATTGTTCTTTGAGGCAGAGAGTCAGCTGTCGGCTGTGTCTGCCATGGCAGTGGCGCAGCAGTCAGACTCTTCCATCGCAGTAGAGCAGCTGTCAGACCTGATATCGCTTGAAAAAAAACTTCGTGTGATACTACGGTAGTGTGCAGTACACTTACAGCCTCGGCAGCAAGAAGCTGGCAGTGATGGTCAGCTTCTCACCGCGTAGTCTGGGGATGTTTGTGGTCCAGGATTGCGTCTTGTTGTGAAGAATTTGGGAAGAGCAGCTTCGACAGCGTTGTTTTTGCGTTTTGGTGTTGACAGGCTATGTGCTCTTCGCTGTGGATATGATGGGATCGATCCTCAGGTGAGAGTTCAGAGTCTTCCTCCGAACATGACAAGACCATCTTTTCTAGCGCCTAGCTCAGGCCACGGATACAGTGAGGGAGAGCGTGCCCTCGTGGAGGCGAGGCTTGCTCTTCCGTGTGCCGAATTCTTCATTCCCTGTTTCTTCCCAGTCTTCCCAGTGTGCAAACACGATGACCAAAAGGGGAACTCTGTGTCATGTACCGCCGACCAGCATCCGACAAATGAATATGAATATTATGTATCAGCTCAACCATAAACGGTTGAGCGGCTTGGCACAAGCTCCGGAGAATCACGGCCTTGCCGAAACACTGGGAACCGCCCGTGAAGACCCGCAGATCAACTCCACGGGGATGCTCGGACGGCTTGTGCTCAGGGGGAGGACGGCTAGTGGCGCTAGCGGCGGATGATGCAGCCGCAATTGGGACACTTGCAGTGCAAATTACTAGAGTGCAG